GTTCAGCATCTTAGCTGTAGAGGGCAGTGTCACTGGCCCTCATATGTGGGATCCGAACTGGGGCCCTCTGGCGTCCCAAGCCAGCTCTTAAACAATGCGCCGCTCGGCCGGCCCGAAAGTGCAGCTTTTAAAGGGCTCATGTGATTAGATTAGGCCCACCCAGATAATTCTCCTTTTGCCATGTAAGGTAACAACTACAGCAGTATCACCTCATCATAGTTGAAGACTCCACCCACACTCAAAAGGAAGGGGGTTCTACAAGGGCAAGGGTCACTGGGGGTCTTTTTTAGAAACCTGCCCACCACACCTAGCCGTCATGGTGAGGTGGAAGCACCCTCATTCCTAGTTCCAGACCCCCTCACTTCTGTGAGGCCTTGGGCCAGTCAGCTCCCATTTCTGGCCCTCAGTGGCCTTCTCTGTAAAATGGAGTAAGGGGCAAAATGAGATCTAAAATCCCTTCCAGATCTTACACATTAATTGTGATTCAAGAAGACAGGGAATTTGGGTCCTTTGGATGAGGAGGCCCCACTGCCCAGAGAAGAGCAGGACTGCATTACCCTCCCAGCAACACCCTCCTGCAGGCCTTTGAAGGGGCCTTACCAAGGAAGAGCAGTAGTTGAGACAGTCAAACAGCACAGCCAAGGTACCCAGTGTAAGGGGCCCAGCCACCTGCTGGGCTGGGCTGTGGAGAAGCAGAGACCATGGGCATTTGCGAGGCCCCACAGACAATGATGGGTCCCCTCTGGAGTCTGCACAGGGCAAGGTGGTCTGCACCTAGTTGGTGGGGGAGTGGGGCAAAGACCAAGTCAGGTGGGCAACCAATCCCTTCCCCTCCCTCTCAACTCAAGCTGGCCTTCAAAAATCAATCTCCCAAATCCATCCTGTCTGCCCCCAGTCCTGGCCTCTGGGTCTCCAAAAGGGCCCTTTCAGGCTCTTCCTGCCCCTCCCTCCCAGCCCTAGCTGGGCAGGGGTAGTTGACCCCATCTTCCTGGACCAGCTGGGCTGACGCTGCCCAAGGAGGGGTGGGGGCGCCTTAGGAGCCTCTCATATGGGAGCCCCAATCACCCCCACTCCCATCCCCAGGGTAACAGCAGCCTCTCCTCCCAGGCTCCCCCCATCCCTCTCCAGGCGCCACTTTCTGTTCTGTGTGCAAGCTCCCCTTCAGGGTCCCCATCCCCCAGGCTCCCACCAAGGCTTGGCAGAGGGGCTGGAAGGAGACCCTCCCCAACTCCATCCAAGCGCGGGAGCTGGGTAAGAGGCGGGGAAATGAATATTAATTTATCATGATTAGGCAAATCCGGCAGGGAGAGCCGATTCCGGAGGAGGCTAAAAAGATGAATTTCAGCAATAAAATTAAATAAGGACGGACGGGCGGCCCCTCCTCCCTCCTGCTTTGCTGATCTCTCTCTTTCTTACAATTTATGAGGCCAATTATGAAGATGAGGTTGGAAGTTCCTGGAACTTCACTAAATGCAAACGGCGGTCCCTGCTGTTCCCATCAAATTAATTAACCGCGCGCTATTGATGGCCGCTCAAGGCTGACGCAGGCGGCCCGCCCTGCGGCCGCCTCCATGGACACAGGACCCGGAGTCCAGAGCCTAGCCGGGGCTCCACCACCTTCTGCAGGCCCTGCCCAGCACCACAGGGGACTCCAGGGTCCCTCCTTCCAGCCCCCAGGCCCTGCCTGAGCCCTTGACAATATAAGGGCATGCACACAGAGCTCTAGATAGATGGACCGCATACCCAAATACAATATCATGAATATACACCACACATATAGAGCCTGGAATGCACATGAAGCACACAAGAAAATGAACAGACAGACACGGTGACAGCCCAGCACAGACAGTGGGGCGGAGGGGGTCTCCCTGTGGGAGGAACACTACATCTGGAGCCCTGGGCCTGCTCTCCCAGGCCAGGCCCAAGTCCAGTGGAGCCAAGGGCCAGGCAGAGGTTCCACTGCCACTCAAGCAAGGAGCAGTGGACCCTCACCTGGTGCCTGTACCATGAGTGGTCCCTCCGTATCCGTGGGGGATTGGTTCCAGGAGCCCCATGGATAGCAAAATCCACAGGTGCTCAAGTCCCGTATATAAAACGGTATAGTATTTGCATATAACTTACACACATCCTCTGTATACTTTAAATCAACTCTAGATTACCTCGTAATACCACAAGTGCGGCCTGGCTGGAGACACAACTCTGGCTCAGGGACAGAGTGACAACAGCTGGGCTAGGGGCAGGAGGCAGGTTTGTGATGCCCTTCTCCTCCTCCTCAGCACCAGGTGATGATCGGGTGGTTGTTTTGGGGTGCTCAGTTGCTGGATAGGGTGCCAGTTCCCACCAGGGCTCTGAAATTCAGTCTCCCTGTCCAGCAGGATGGGGCACTAGGCTGAAAACCAGGTTCAGGCTTGGAAGTGGCTGGGGAACCCCCTAACCATTCTTTGCTTAGTGTGAACTCAGAAAACCACCCCCTCCTCCAACTGGGCAGCCTTTCTCAAGACACAGAAATCCATCAGCTCCTTTCCCGGGTTCCTGTGTCAGATTGAGCAGCGAAGAGGATGCCACCCCCAGGATGGGTCTCTCTGGAGGGTGTGGGCACTCTCCCTTTGTATCCCACGATTTCCTGTTGCCTTGCCAGGAGGTGGAACCGGGAGTTTGTATGGTCTGAAGGCAGTCTGGAATTCTGAGTCTCCTGGAGGAAGGGAAGTGGCAAGGATGGGGGCTCCTGGTTTCAGACACAGAAGTCTGCACCATCACTCCCCATGGCTCTGGGGACTTTGTGTGTGTACGAAGGGGTTAACTGGCCAAGTTACCACAAGATCCTCTGGTTCCCTCTTCTCCTAGCCCTGGAGGCCCAGTCCTTTGGGCCTGGAGAGGGTGCTGAGAAGGCTGGGGGCACTGAAGTCGGAAGCGGAAGGATAGAAGCAATGGCCAAGATTGGACCCTGACACCCCAGGCTTTGGGCTTCTGCCAACTCTGACCCTTGCTGGGGTTGGTGGCGGGCACTGAGGGCCCAGTCTACAGTAGCGCTAGCAGACCTGGGGGACTGCAAAAGCAGTCCAGGAGCCCAGGGATTTCCCAGCTTCTCTCGTCCACTCCAGGCCCTGGGCAGCCACACTTCCCTGGGAGTAGCTTTGAGGGAGAGGCTCAACCCTCACAGAGGCTTCTGGGCTTTTGACGGGACTGTTTCTGGGTGATTCTGAGCTGTGAAAGGGGCCCTGACTCCATGGGCTTTTGGTTCCTTCTCTGGATGACCCATGTAGACAAGGACCCATGGCTTGGACCCCCGGGTTCTGACCTCGTTGGGGGTCCACTCTAAGGCTGCTGAGATCCCCTGAATGAAACCAGGTCAACCAAGGCCAGCTCTGGGACTCTGCAACTTACGGTCAGAGACGCAGGACTCAGCAGCCACCCCCACCCTGCCTCACAGCTAGTGCACTCAGATTTGAGACCATCTTGGCTCCCGAGCTCCCCTCATGCTCCACCTCAAAATCCCCCATGTCACAGGGACTCTTGAGGCCCCTTGGTGCTCCTCCAAGACACCTTCTCCTCCCTCTGTGCCCACTGTTCTTCATACTTGGGATGCCCTCTACTCCCTTTACCAAATTCTCCATTCTGCAAGGTCCAGCCTCTGAAAACCATCTTCATGCCACTAGCTGGACTTGCTCCTTCCTATCTGCTGTCAAACTAAGCCCCTCAGCTTGACCTGGTCCTCTGCCAGCCCAGCCTTCTCCTGACTCCTGGCATACAGCAGCCCCTCTAAAGCAGGCTCCTCAGTTACCCCAGAGCCTGTCTACCCTTCTCAAATAGGCTCTTTCCCTGCCAACCTGCCCCCTCCCCCGCTTCTAGGATGCCCTCCCTGACTGCCTCAGCCCTGTCAGGAGCACACAGGTCACCATTTAGTTGTTCCTAAAGTGTCTTGCCACCTTTGTTCATGTCCCCAGATAGCCTGTTCTAGGGCCTGGCCCACAGATGTTTATGGGTAGACAGGAGCTCCTAAATGCCTGACTTCATGAATTTTCCTTTTTTTTTTTTTTTAAAGATTTTATTGGGGAATTGGGGAAGGGGAACAGACAAGTTGCTGTCCTTTTGTTCTTAAGTCTAGCTGTGGAGGACGTTGCTTCACTGGCCCAAGTTGGCACCATCATTGCGCTCTTCCCGGATGAGGCAAATCAGTCACCGGCTTCTGGACGGCCGCTCACTGCGGCTGCTGGCTGCTCACGCTGGCTGCTGGCTACACACGGTAGCCCATGGCAACCCACTGCCACAGGGGCTGCAGCCTATGCTGTTGCCGGCGACTCATGGCAGCCGAGCTCCAGGTTGAGCTGTTGTTGAGCATCTTAGCTGTGGAGGGCAGTGTCACTGGCCCTCATATGTGGGATCCAAACCGGGGCCCTCTCGCGTCCCAAGCCAGCTCTTAACCATCGCGCCACTCGGCCGGCCCATGAATTTTCCCTTTTAATGTCCACCTGTCCCCTTGAGTTCAGGAGCTGACTCAGGGCTGACCTGGTGGAGAGCAGTTAACTTGCCGTTCTGGGTTCCCATCTCCGCCCTGCCTGGGTGGAAGAAGGCAAGGGCTGCAGCAGCTCACAGACACTAGGCAGGTTGAATGTCAAATGCAGTTTACTGGGCCTCTGGGCCTTCAGATGCTGTCCTCACCGAGTTTGTGCACCCCCTCCCAACACCTCCAACTGCACAGGAAGCGGGGTGGGTGGAGGGAGTACATGGAGTGGCTCCTTCTCCTGCTCCAAAGGGTCTTAGGTGATGCTGGGCCACAGCTGCTTGCCTCTCCCTCTACAGTCCCCCATCCCACCTCCAGCAGCTAGACCCTCCTCAAGGTAGAGAAGAGGGGATGCCTGGGCCTTCAGCACAGGAAGCTGGCTTCAAACCAGCCATCTGTTCCTGCTCAAAATGGGGCAAGGGGCCATGTGCAACACTGTGGTAGAAGGGAGAGCAGCCTACTATTGGGGAGGGCTGGGAAGACCGTGGGATCTGGGGTGGTCCTTTCCCTCAGGCCCACGGAGCTGGTGGTTGAAGTAGTGAGGTCCAGCCAGCTGAGGCTAGAGGGGAGTACTGGATGGCCAGGTCGGGCAGCTGGTCCAGCTGGGTGCCATCTTCACCTCAGCCATGGGTCACCAGTCCCGCTCAGCTGGTTCTCGGTAGGGGAGGTCTAAGAGCCTGAAGACATCCTTCTCGGTAGGGGTGGGAAGCACTCGGCCAGATGCCACCTTGATGCCGTGGGTGTCCCGCACCACAGCTGTGCTGAGGGCATGCTCCGACAAGCTCATGCCCTTGGTCTTGGCCAGAGCTCGCATGGAGCGGTTGAAGTGGGCAGAGCCGGTGAAATAGAGCAGGGCACAGGCGAACTCGCCGTAGGGCACAACGATGATGTCCAGTCGTCGGTGCCGCCGCCCCGGCCCTGGGAGCCGGCACACGCCCAAGTACTTCTGCTGCTGGCCATTGTCCTCCTGGCTCACCAAGTCATCCGTCAGGAACCCTGGCCCAACAAAGGGGGGGCTGCTGAGAGGGCCAGGAGCCAGGCCCTGGGCCACCCCAACCTCTCAGGTCTCTCCTGGTCAGCCTGGGTCCTCTAGTCCTCCTTCACCCATTTACTTGCCCTCTCTGGGCCTGCCTCCTTACCTGTACAATGTGTATAGAAATTCCTCCCATCCCCCACAGTGTCACAGAAAGATCAGATGAGACACTCAACTCACAGGTGGTACTGAGCACCTATGTGTGGTGTGGGGGCTGTTGCATCTCTTCCCTGAAATGGCTCTGCCACAGGTGGGATTCTCACAAAGCTACCGTCCCCTGCTTCCTGCCTAGAGATTACAACTTTGAGGTTCTCCCTCCTGGAGGCCGCCCAGCTCTGCCCTGCCCTGCCCCCTGCCAACCTGCTCACCCAGAGATGGAGCTCATACCTCGCTGCCGAAGGCTGTCAAGGAGGCGACTGAAGATGCCCTGGTGAGACCGGCCATCCGGGTGAGTGAGCAGCACGTCCACATCCCCACAGGTTGCCTTCCCCCGTAGGTAGGAACCACACGTCACACACAGCAGCCCAGGATTCAAGGCCTGAGCCGATTCCCGGACCTGGAAAGAGCAGTGAGGGGCTGTGGCAGCACGAGGGCCTTCCCTGACCTACACTCTCAGCTTATCCCCCAAGCCAAACCCTGGATGCATGATAAAAGCCTGAGGGATTGAGCCCCAGGGGACACAGGCACCCTGGGGAGTGGCAGTTCTCTAGCTTGCCTGGGACAGGAGAGAACACTCTCACACCATGGGCAGGCGGCAGCCTGAGGAGAGATATAAGATACATACTCTGATTCTGAGCGAAAGCACTGGCTTTGCCCTCTCGAGCTTTCAGAGCAGAGAAACACCTTCTCTTGGCTCCTGTACCAACCCCTGCGCCAGGTCTATGAAACTCCACTTAGGACAAGGGGCCAGGTGGCTGGAAGCCCTCAGCCAGGTCTCAACGGCCCCAGGTATCTATGGATTTGGAGTTAAAGGCAGAGAGTGTGAATTGGGGCTTGAGGACTGAACAGGTGGCTGGCAGGGTGCTCCAGGCCCAAGCCCGGGGGTGATGGGGGCCCAGAAACATAACTACACCTGCGAAAAGGAAAGGAAAGAAAGCAAAGAGGGAGGCAATTCTGAGCCAATGCCTTCGTCCTTACTTGGAGGAACGGGGCTCAGTGGGGCGGGAGCTGTGACAGAGGGGACTGTCAGCTGAAGGGTCATCCCTCATTAAGGGGGATAAGCCCATTAGCCTCCACCCCAGACACTGAGGCCTTTCATATGCAGATGGTCTTTCCACCTCCACCCCAGGATACTGAGATTTCTGAGGCCCTGGATACCCTCAGCCAAGACACCTCAATTCTCCTGACAAGCTCTCTGCTAATCCCCTCACTCCCTTCCTGAGCCTCCCAAGAGGATGGGAGGAGACCTAGGATGAGTAATCCTATCAAAAAGTCCCAAGGCTTTCCCAAGCCCTTCAATGGGGGGAGGCAGGCCAGGTGGGTAGGGGGGCTGGAGGCTCACTGGGGCATTCTCCTTGCCTGGATACCGTGGCTGATTGACAATGTCATCACTAGCACCAAGGCTTGGTGATGCATGAACAAAAGGACCTGTTTATCCAGAGTCCTGTGGCATAGAGTAGAGTAGAGCTGGAGGCTGATTTCAACTAAGCTGTCCATGGAATTTCTGTGGAGTCCTACCCTCTCAAAATCCTGGACCAAAGTGAGCAAACCTTGCCCATAGCAACCAGCCCTTAATCCTAACACCAACTGAACAAGTGATACATCCAACCCTAAATGTACCCTAGTCTCTCTCTAATCTAGGTTTTATATGAACTTGATCCCTAACCCAACTCTAAACCAAACCCTAATCTTGGCCAAACCTTATTTCTAGGACGACCACAAATCTTAACTAAAAGCATGCAACACTAAGAAAACCCTACTGCTAATTCAGGCCAAACCTTAACTCACCTCTTGATCTACCTTCCTTCTACCCCCAAACTTAACCCTATAGCACTACGCTTCTTCACTAACTCTAACCCAAACCCTAAACCAGCCTTGGGTGAGCTTCAGAGGGTCCATACATCTGGAAAGAGATATAAAACTTTGTACATTTGTACAACTTTTGGAGAGAAAGAGTCCATAGTTTTCACCATGTTCTTAAAGAAGTGTATGAACCAAAAAACAAGAACCTTTGCCCTGACCCACCCTAACCTAGCCAATTCAAACCCCAGTATCCCTAAATTCTGACTATAATCCATCTCTAATCTAACTCTAACGTGAACCCAGTCCTAACACCATTCTAGCATCTAAGCCAATCAGCCTGACCAATAATAAGAACCCTAATCCAGGGAGCTGGTATTACAGCCCTTCCCTACCAAAGCCACCCACCCCTGCCCTGGCCCCATAGCTTCTTGCTTTTTCCGCACTGGTCCCAACCTCTGGTGGCCCACAGCTGCTTCGGCCTGTTGGACTCCCCAGCTGGGGGATCAGGAGTTCTTGGCTTTGAGCCAAGCCCTGAACTTATAGCAGGGCCTGGCTCTCCTCACTTCTCCGAGACGCCTGCTTACTGTCTGCTCGATCTCTGTAGCCTCCTCCCTGGGCATGCGTTCCAGAAAGTCATCGTAATGCTTCAGGCCGATGGCCTGCTGGGTAGTCAGGGAGGCCTGATTGTGGATGTCTTCTAAGGTCCGGTAACCCTGCAAAAAGGAAGCCAGAGGTGTGTGTGTGTGTGTGTGTGTGTGTGTGTGTGTGTGTGTGTGTGTGGTGGGGGGTGGGCGGGGAGGGGGCAGGGTATGAGGATCCAGGACCAATGAAGAGGCAGTGAATGAACACACACATGGCTTCCATCACCCCAGACTCCAAGGAAGACCTGAGGTAGGACCAACCCCAGGAGCAGTTGGGTCTCAGTCACAACCCCAGGAGCAGTCAATGGGATTCAGGAAAGGCAGAGGGCATGGAAGACATGCCCCAATCCTAAAATATTGGTTCACGATTCCATCAGTCTGGGGGTGATTCCGGGCACAGCCAGGTTTGGGAACCACTGCTCTGGATACTCAGCCTTGAGGCCTGGTCTCTTCAGAAAGGCCTTTGCTGCTCTGGGAGACACAGAAACATACTGCTGGTCTCTGCCTATACCAAGAGTAATGCCTCAAGTATGCCAAGCACCAGGGCAGTTCTGGGAGCTGGGAGAGGGGTCTAGATGGGCCTTGGACCCCTTGAGAAATGGTCTCCCTATAGTCTGGGTTCATTCCCATCAGAGTACACAGTAAGACAACTAAGGGTCAGGAGCTCTGAGGCACAGCGAAACTCAAGTGGGGGCTGACCTGATGGTACCACATCTGGGCAGTCTTGGACCCAGCTCCCCAGATGTTGGAGAAGAGTTCCAAGACAGGCACGCTATCGCTGATGTGGTCCAGCTTCCGCAGATGTCCGCTGTCCAGGATCTCTACAATCTTCTCGGCCATCCGCTTCCCAATTCCGGGGATACTGTAGGCTTCCTGGAAGTGGGGGAGGCGGAGGCAGGAAAGAAAAATGAGAAGAGGGGTAGAGCCAGCAGGTGGGGAAGCTGACTCCTTTAGCAGATTTCTGAAATAAAAGCCAGCCTAGCCACTTGGCAACTGATGGCTGTGTAAAGCTTGGGCACAACTGAAGATGAGAAGTTTGGATGGAATGGGCAGGTTAACTTGTCTTTTGGTTCCTAGAGGGATGGAGATCCGCACAGGAAGTAGAGAAAGGGCAATAATGATGATACTAGTCACCATCATCATCACAACAGTGACAGCTAACGTTTACTGAGGACTTACTGTGTACCAGGTCCTGTACTACTGGGATCATCTCATTTAGTCCTCACAGAAAACAGAATTTGTTAGTCTTAGTCCCCTTTTACTGGTGAGGAAACTGACACTCAAGGTTTTAAGTAACTTGCCTAAAGTCACACAATTAGTGAAGCTGGAAATCAGAATTCAAACCTTGTATTGTTGGCCTCCAGAGTCTAAACGTTTTTTTAAAAAACTTTTCATTACAAAAAAAAAATCCAAAGTAGAGAGAACAGTGTAACAAACCCCCACGTACCCATTGCCCAGCTCCTATAATTATCAGGATTTTGCCAATTTGCTTTCACCCATCTCCCATTTTTTCCCCCTTTGTGCAAGTCCTAGACATCATAAAATCTTAAGCACTCCACCTGATCCCCACTTGTGACTAGTGCCTCCACCCACCTCTAGCCAGTAGACCACACCCCCATACCCGGCCCTGGTACCTGGTAGGAGGTGACAGGTTTGTGGAAGCTCTTGAGGGCATTGATGGCCTTGGCATAGCCCAGGGCCCTCCACTTGTCTCCCTGAACACTGTAGGCTTTGGCCAGCACTTCCAGCTTCTCTGTGATGTGGGGGTTGTAGTTGGTAGCCTTCTGGCTCGAAGGCTGTGCACAGACCCACTTATCCAGGCCCTCAGGGGCTGGAATAGGCTCACCATCTCCCTCAAGAGGGGTGGGGTAGCGGCCACTGATCAGGGCTTCCAGATCAGCTGCGCTAACCTGGGTCTCTTCCCCGTCACTGGTTTCATCATCAGAGCCGGGCTTGAGGTAGGGAAGAAGAGACAATAAATTCATGCCCCCCATGAATGCTCCTCGAAATTGGGGATTGTGTCCTAGTCAGACCTAAGAATGAGGCTGGGTCGTCTGCATCAAACTTGGATCTCCTGAAGTGTGGGGCTGTGTTCCATTTGATTTTCCCAGGTCCCCGCCCTAGTATGCCCAGTAGCATATGGCAGATATGGCCTAGGCAAATGCAAGAATGATGAGTGCTGGGAAGAGCTAAATGGCTTCACAATAAAGAAGTCCTCCTCTCCCAGGGGCCCTGGACTTTCTGAACAACCACCAGGCTCTCCCTGTTTCTGTGATCTACTTTTCAAGGAAAGGGAACTGGGGGTGCTATGAGGCTCCTGACCTGGGCTTGGGTGCTTGATGCTTCTTCTGCCTTCTGGGGAGGAGATACAGGTCTGATGGGAGGAGGGGGAGGAGAGAGGACTGTCTTGAGCAGACCCTCACAGCCTCCAGGAGAAGAGTTTTGGTCTGCCTTACTGAGCTGTGGTTGGTCCAGGTACCTGCAGGGATGGTGACGGGAGGTTAGGACACCAAAGGTCTCGTCCCATCCTGCTCCAATCCTTCTCTACGCTGCAATCTTGGTTTTCTATGTGTTTAATTAAGACAATGAGAGTCATTTTTAATAAGCCAAAGAGAGAGCTCAAGATGCTGCCAGGAATCAGTTGAGGAAACACTGGGACCAGCCCACCTGTTGGGGATGAAGATGTTGAATCCTGCCGTGTCCACCAGCCTTCTCTCCTGCAGGCACAAGCTCAGCCAGGCTGACTTTACCAGCTGAGCACCTGGGGGCAGCTGGGGCAGTCTAAGGAGGCGGAGGGCTCGCTCACAGTCCATGTCTTCATCCACCACAATATGAGTGACTCCTGGGGCCTGGGCAGGGCATACCTGGCCACCATGCTGGACAATCTGCTTCTCAAAGAGTTCTGCCCGGGCTCGCCCAATGCCAGTGGGCACAACATGGGCCCGCAGGGAGCTCAGCCACTCTGTGGAGGGGACATCCAGATGCCTATTGTCATAACTTTCACATATGATCCAAATAAACCCCTTATAGTATCTTACCCCCAAACAATCATTTTCCTTCTATCCAGACAGCCTGTGTTCTGGGGATTCTACCTTAAGCATACAGTTTATTTCTTCAGGGGCAATCTCTTGATGTAAGGGGCAAGGATTTTGATATGTCCTGTTGCCTCGTGTAAATGAGAACATTGTCTGGCACGTTGTAGGCATCCTCTAAATCACTTTAATCATTTATTCTTTCAACAAATATTAATAGACACCTACTGTGTACCAGGTACAAGGCACATGTCTTGCCATTATAGGCCTCACATTCTAATAGATTGCCCCCTCCCACCAATATAAGCTTTTGCTCTCCATTTGTCAATTTGGCTGCAAAATATCTTATACGTCTGGGGACCTGAAAGGGATTTCTCGTCCCCCCACACTCCCAACTGCAGGCAACCTCCTGGAAAGCAAAGGATTCTGCTGGTCATTTCCTTAGGGACCAGGGAGTGTCTTCGGATTGATGGAGGTCTCAGAGTGGAGTAAAAGAAAACACAAGTGGCCTGTTGAAGACTGGGGACCAAACCTAGTGCAAGGCAGGTACAGGCCCAGGGTGGGCAGTGTCAACTCTAATATCTTATTCTGACCGTGAACAATATAGGGAGTCTGAAGGTTTAAGTAGATGAGGGTTCTGAGACTGGGTCCACTCACCTCCTGTTCCTTCTCCTTCTTCCCTCTTGGGAATCTTTGCAAGTGCTTTTGATGATGGATTGGCATGAATTTTCTTTCGCTTGGGAAATGCCTTCAAGATGCCCCCAGGGTCCATTGAGTTATGGCCTGTTTGAAGGTTGATCAGGGTGGCTGTCATGTGGAAACCCAGAGTTGAGGTTCCCTAACCCCTTTGCCTATGGAGGTTGGGTCTCTACTTACCAGGCCTTGGAGGCAGTAGCCCAGCCCCCCCCCAGGGTCACCCAAACCCCAAGTGAACATCAGTGGTTTGGCCTAGATCTACACTCACCAGCCTTTCAAAGTCAGAGTATTGGGGAAATGAGGAAAGAATGGGACGATTGGGAGTACTTTGGAGGGGTATGAAACGATATCATTCCTCAGAGGGGTTGCTCTCAAGATTCAGTGCAGTGTCTGCCGGGCCACATCCCAAAAGGCTTTATACTAAAAGGGAATGCCAGGCTAGGAAATGGCGCTACACCTTTAGGAAGGACGGGCTCTCAGGAAGAGCGGGGACTGTGGTAAATCTGCACATCAACTCCACATACTCTTTCTCAAACCCACAGAGGAAAACATGGGGTGGGGTGGGGTGGGGGGAGTTAGAGGGTAACGCCCTGCACCTGCCCTGGTCGCAGGCCTCTCGGCATGAGGGTGCGCAGCCTCCCAGCTGCGGGGAGATGGGGTACGGCCGCAGCAGCTGTGGAGCGACTTCCGGGATTGGGGGAGTCTCGGTCTCACAGCTGGAGATGGAGAAGACTCCGGGCAGGTGTGGGGCACCCTCCTGCGTACGCAGCTGGCGCGTGTTCTGGCCTCCCAGCTGGGGGCCAGAGGAGGGCTGGCGCGTCCAGACCCTGCCCAAAGAACCCCCTCCCCACTCCCCGGATTCGATCCGGAGTAGGGTTAACTTCAGGCTCATCAAACCAACAAGGGGACGGGCAAAAGTAAACTACTACCTACTTACCAGGGCAGCCAATGAGAGCGGACCAAGGGTGTAAGAAGGGAAAAGGGAGGGCAAATGACCAGAACAATTTCCGGGTAAGCCGGAAGTGACCCCAGGCGGAATGGTCGCCATGGCAACGGCTGGGCGCGCGACTGGGCGGAGGGAAGATGGCGGTGACAGGCTGGTTGGAGAGCCTACGGGCGGCCGAGAAGACGGCGCTGCTGCAGGACGGTAACGCAAGGCCCCCCGTGAGCTCCCTTGTCCTTTTCCCCAGCCCTCCACGCTCGCGCCTCCAGGAGGGGCCTCAGAGCCTGGGACGGCAGAGCTGGAAGGGTGGCGATCGCCACCAAAGCAGGTCCTGCATTTGCAGATGAGGAAACAGCCCCAGAGAGATGATGTGATTGGAATACGTGTCTCTGGACACCCCCTAATTTCCTGTATATCACTTCGCTCCGCTCGGAGTTCTGTTACTAATAAATAATACGTAATTCCTTTCACATTCATCGTCATTTGCCCCTCACCCGAGAGGCTGTTAAATTTCCACCCCATTGTACAGAAAAGAAAACTGAAATCCAAGTTTCAACAAGGTTTTAGACCAGCCCCAGCTCCCCCAACCAGTCAGTGCTACAACTGCATCTTGACCTGGGGTCCCATGAACCTCAGTCTGGGGGTTCTACTGCTGAAGGAAGCCTGGTGTCATGGAGAGGCGGCAGACCTGGGCTCTAGTTAACGGCTCTGCCGTTCATTTACCCGGGGCTCTCCAAGTCGCCCCCCTTACTTGTTTGAACCGCACTTTCCTCATCTGTAAAATGAGCTGGATGGACTGGCTACCTGTTATCTCTGAGGTCCTTTCCAGTGGTAATATTGTTTGTAAGTGACCCTCTAAATGTTCCCTGGCTCTTTAGGGGAGACAGAGTGAGGGCCCGGGTCTGCACCTGGAAGACATGGGCAGAGGGGTATGGAGTCTGACTTTCTGTCACCATGGGATTGGCTGGTGTAGGCCCCCACTCCCACCCCGTGCTTCAAGGTCCCTTCCTGGAACCACTTGGCAGCCAGAAGGAATTAGGACTGAATTCCTGTAGCTTTTAGGATACCAGCTAGAGACTCACATCCTCAGGCAGAGGCCAATCAGGGAAGCATGGAACTTAAAATTAGCTGCTCATTTGCTCATTCATTCACGTAGGATTTAGGGAGGCTTTTACTATGTGCCAAGCTGTGTACTAGAGCAGAAATACGTGTTGTCTCCCGAGTTCACAGAGTGGTCAGGAAAAGACATGTAAATAAATAAGAGTGTGTGTTAAATAGAGGTTGGAATCTTCTATAAAATGCTATGAGAGCACAAAGTGGGAAATAATCAGCTCTTTGAAGGAAGACCTGACAGAAGAGGTGATGTTTATAGGTCCTAAAGAATGAATAGGCATTTGCTAAATGGAGAAGAAGGGATGGCTATTCCAGGAAGAGTAACTCACCTGTAAAGGCATGGAGGTGTGAAAGTATATGGCTGATTACTAGGAGAATACAAAACATTTAGTGAGGCTGACTCACTCACCCGGTTAGTTTTAAGAACCACTTACAATGTGTCAGGTACTGGGTGCTAGGGTGCAAGGGTGAATAAAAGGTCCCTTTTCTCAAGAAGCAATGAGGGGAAATGGTGGAAAATAAAGAGAGATTGCAAATAAATTCGGGTATGTTGTGATAGATCTCCTATGCCAAGCTAAAGATTTTGAATGTTATCTTATAGGACAGTGGTTTTTGTTTTTATCATAAAAAGTACAGAACATGGAATTTACCATTTTAACCATTTTAAGTGTACAGTTCTGTGGAATTAAGTACATTCACATTGTTGTGCAAGCATTACCACCACCCATCTCCAGAAATTCTTCATCTTCAACTGAAACTCTATACCCATTAAACACTAACTCCCCATTCCCTCTACCCCCAGCCTCTGGCAACCACCATTCAACTTTCAGTCTTTATGAATTCGATTACTATAGGAACCTCATGTAAGTGGAGTCATACAGTATTGGTCCTTCCATGACTGTCTAATTTAGCATAATATCTTCAAGTTTCATCCATGTTGTCACATGTGTCAAAACTTCATTTTTAAGGCTGAATAATAGTCTATTGTATGTACATACCACATGTTGTTTGTTCATCTGTCCATGGACGCTAAGGTTGCTTCCACTATTGTGAATAATATACTGCTATGAACATAGGTGTACAAATATCTGTTCAAGTCCCTGCTTTCACTTCCTTTGGTCTCAGGACAGTGTTGAAGCAAACATTTCATCACCCAGGATTTTGGTAAGTTTTTTTGTTAATAGCAACACAAAACAATGTTGTTAGTTTTTTTTTTCAAGCAAAAAAAAAAGAGACAAACTAATATTAAATATATGGATACACCTTGTCAAACCTCTCCTGTAGATTTACCCTCTTGGGGTGTATGTGGGTGCTTGGGTGGGTGATGTTACCGCCTTCCCACCAAGAATCACTGCTGTTGGTAATGAGAACCTAATACACTTTATATTTTTTTCATAAATAATTTGTTCATTATGGAAATATGAAAAATAAACGTCACCCATAATTTTATCATCCAGAGATAATAAAAATTTACATTTTCATATATACACTATATTTTTCCATGCATATACACTCACACATATATATTTTTTTCTTTTAACAAAATATCATACTAATATCCTTAAAATGTTTTATATCCACATATGTACATATATAACAAATATGTATTAGAATAAAGTATAGATAAATATTATATAATCTTTGGGCAAGGGAGGATATTCTAAACACAACTTCTGGGTAATAACCATAAAGGTAAAAACAGTTGACTATATAAAAATTAAACACTTGTTTGGGAAAACTCAATTTAAACAAAGTTAAAAGGCAATTGAAATGGAATATTTACAACATATATGACACATGGCTAATATATACAAAGCTCAATTAGATTAGTAAAAAAAAAAAGGTGAATACCCAAGTAAAATAGGCTAAGGCCTAAACAGGTAATTCACTAAAAATATGACCAATAAATGCTTGGATCCTGGTTATTAGAGCATGGACTTAGGCCTCAAGTGAGTTTACGCCTCGGCCCATTGCTCTGTAGCTATGACTTTGGACAAGTTGCATGACCTGTAAGCTTCAACTTTCCTCTTTTGTGAAATACAGGTAATGGGGGCACGTAGGATTATTGTGACAATTAAATGCAATAAAACATGAAAAGTGCCTGGCCAGTAGTAAGCACTGCATCCTGCCTGGACTCAAGACTGGACTCCAGGGGGAGGAGAGGGTCAGTCAGGCCAGACACCACTCACAGGCAGCACCTTGTCCTCTACTCCCGACAGGAAAACCCCTTCCAGTTCTTGGAGCCATCCAAATGATTAAGGATGGTGTGATCTAGGGACCTGCTGAGAGGCATACAAATTTGGGGGTACATTTCCCTAGAATATATATTAGGAACAACTCTAAGGAACCGTGTCCCAGGGGAGTGAATTGGACAGGGAAAAGACTTGGTAGATCAGATACAGTTTCAAGTGGCACCTATAGCTAGTTAAGGGCTTTAAGGCTCATATTCATTAAATGTATGTTGGGCCTGCCTACTGGACATTAGTCCTCTGTTATTTGAGCTAGATTTTGAAAGGCAAGGAGGAGGTCAAGGGCAAGGAGGAGATGAAAAGTAGTATGGAGCTATTTCTCATAGAGGAAACAGCAGAGCAAAGACATGTTCAGAGAAAGCTTCAGAAAGTGAGAGTCCCAGGACGTTTTAAAGTAATGGTGGGCGATGGTTGGCAAGGAGTTGGGAGGCTCTGGGAGGGTTTCCCAGTATGCTCAAGGCTATTGATGTTTCCCAGGTAGGCCCCTTGATCTGCAAGGTGCAAGGCAAGAGGCTTGGGGGTAAGGCACTCTCTGCTTTGTGCTAGGGAGAAGGAAGGTGCACTATTTGTTCCCAGACGGGAAGGAAATGGCAGAAGAATATGATGAGAAGACGAGTGAACTACTTGGTAAGTGAAAGGGGCTCCCAGTGGGACCTTAGGAACACTTGGAGTGACCTAAGCACAGGTGAATACTCATAACCTGAGGCTTGAGGGAGGAGCCCAGCACCAAATGTGGAAGCTAGGGGAGACTGAGGTCCTTGAAGCAAGATTGTTCCTGAAAATAATCTGAGGTCGCTGGACACCACAAGTGGAATGGAAGTCCGTTTGACCAGTAAGCCCCACTCCACCCCCAGACAAATGAGGGAATGGGTAATTCTAAGGTGGGAATGGGGGATGTAGAGAAACCACTGGGAAAAAACTTTACAGAGAAGGTGGCCCTGGAAGTGAACCTTGTAATGGTAATGGCAGGCTTTCACTGCACTTTTTTGTTTGTTTGTTTTCTTTATTGAAGCCACATTAGGAACAAGCAAGTACCAGAGGCAGCAGCTTCTGACCTTGCCCTAGAGGCTACACTATGAAATATGACCTTATCTTGGAGAATATCTGAATCAAAGGGAATAGGGGGTAGACAGTGATTTTTGCAGCATTGTCATTTGCGTTCCTGTAGCTCCTTTTCTCAAAGAATAGGCTCCAGCTTGGGTTTCTGGGAATTATTTGATTTGTCCATTCTCTGTTCTCAGGTCCGCACATCAGCATTAACTGACTTCCCAGAGCTAGATGGCTGGTTCCTTGACCCAGGGCCTGAGGCTGTCAGCAATGGGAGTTGGTCTCTTTATTAAGTTCTACCTGCAATGCTAAGACCAATGATGGAATCATGCACTGGGTTATTTTCTTGTCATTATTCTTGACTTTAATTTCTTCCTGAGTCTGATCGACAGGTAGTATTGGTGAGGGAATTTCTTTTTCCCCTTTTCTGACAGCTCATAAATGTCTAGAACCGACAACACAGATTATACTGGTTTGCATTCTCTTAGTCCCCAGTCTTAAAATGTTTGTCCTGCGCATGTTCAGTCACAGAGTAAAGTGTTGATCCCTCCTTATTATGAGCTGCTTGGGCTCCAGTCC